CTCAAACCCTTCTACGTTAACCCCAAAAGCCTTGCATGCCTTTAACATCACAGCCTTTGTCCATCTTGTATGCTCGTAAATATTTGGGGTATCAATTACTTGCATGCTTGAAGAGCCCTGTTCATACCATGGGAGAGCAAGTGTGTCGCAGGAAGAGAGCTCGACATCTGTACTGTCTACAGCTTCAGTTGATTGTGGCATTTTCCTTGAGATTTTTTGCAGAACCTTTTCTCCTTCGTCGTCTGCCTCTGAGTCGCAGTGGGTTATTGAAGGAGGTTTAACACTGGGCCCTTCTGAGAAGGAAGCTTCTAGTTCTACCATTAGTGGGTCAAAATAATTTACAGAGATGTAGGGGTTGGGCTTCAAAACACATGGGTCAATTTTAGGCCCAGTTGCTCTCCAGATTTGCTTTGTTAATTTCCCCCTCAGTGCATGCTTGTCTTTTGGGCCCTTTTTGTAATATTCACGATCCACTAAGAGGCCCAAATTTTGAGCCCTCTCTTTAACCCCACCATTTGATTTAGTGTGCCTCACAGCTGGTAGCTTGTACTGCCCTGAGCTTGAGGCTGCCACGTCAGCCACTTTTGAATTAAAGATGATCGGTCTATTATGGTTAAAGACCACTGGGTTCTTTGTTGGGTCCTTCGCTTGACTCGAGGAGGGTTTATCAAAGACTGCCGCCTTCTCTACTCTGACGGCGACTGAAACCTCGCCGGAATTTGCAGGTTTTATGAGTACGTCCTCCAAAACTGAAATCTTGTAGCTCCTGATGCCTATTTTTAACTCGACAACCCCTGGGTAACTCATCTCCTTGTCTTTTACACAGATTCTGGCCCAGAACATGTGGGCCCTGTTTTTCGTGTCCTCATCGGTGCCTATGAATCCTCCAAACTTATCTCCTATGAAGCGAAAAGTTGCTGATGTCCAGCCATGCAGAGGAATTCCAAAGGCTTTGATCCACTTCTGTCCCATTTCACCTTTGGTTGGAGATGACCCAGATTCCGGCGACCACCACTCAAGGGTTAAGTGTCTACCATTCCAGAACCAATCCCCTACTTTTACCCTAGCTGCTTCCTGTCTCGATGGTAGCTCGAAGAGGAACTGATTGTGAGCCATCGGAGTGACCATGAGACCGGCTATTACTTTCCACCTTGTGATAAACCATTTTTGGATGACTTCAGCTTTGGGGCTTTGATTGAAAGGGTCGTTGAAACATCCAATCAGGCACTTGGATAGGAATTGGGAGCTTTCATCGGCAGCAGCAACACCTTCAGTAGCATCAACAACCTCTACTTGCTCGTTAACTTGTGTAGGCCATTGTGGAATCTTTGCAGCCGCTAGAAAGGATCTCTTTTGTACATCTGCAAATTTTTTGAACTTGTAGTTGGAAGCCTTCCCCAAAAATTGTAATATTCTTCCTGCTATATCTCCCTACCCCCAGTTGTAATCGTTTTCTGGCATTATGATTGCAGATTTCCTGTCTCCAATCCAAGTTTCAATTCTGATGTATCTGCCATAAACATTGTAATTTTGGTATACCCTGTATAAATAGGCTTGTATCTTTCTCCCCCACCTTCTGTAGAGATTCCCGGCGCCCCGTGAAGCTTGGTACATTTGCTCACATACCCATTTGATGTTGTCCTCGTCAATCTTAATTTTACTTGTAAATCTACTGCCCCTTTCAATCCATAAGAACCATCTTTCATTGTCTTCACTGATGTCGATAAGCTCGTAAGACTGTCACCTGAAATAAAGAAGAGCTTTTCCCCCATGCTATGCGAAGGAGAAATTTCACCAGAAAAGGAGTGAAATTCCACCGGAAATGGAGTCAGAAGGTGGATGAAAAAGTAGGCACATTTCCCAAGTCATAGTAGATCCTTTCTTTTTTCATATGGCAAACTATTCGAGGCACATTAATCAGCAGAACCCCCAATCATGTAGTTATTTTATCCAAATGGATAATTTTAACTTTTCATAGCAGAACAAACTGAACAGAGTGTATACATCCCATTTAGTGAGTTGACTATATGACGGTATTCTGGGAAATATACTGTGTCCACTATGTGAGCAATCATTATGTGTTCAAACCTTAATGCATGTGGACGTGCACTCATTCGGTTTTCTAAATTTTCTTGAGAACTCTCATTGAGTTGAGTTCTGACCTCTTCAACGAGAATTTTGTAATTTTCTAGCCAAATATTCTTGAAAAACATTGAATCCCCAACAAACTTAGTCTTAAAGACTTCATCAAACTTTTCCTCATCAGTGAGTCAATGACCAGTCTTCTACCTGCAACTATGGTGGCCAAACCACCATCCTCTGTTACGTTTAAATTTGCACAAAACATTCTAACAAGATCCTCATATACTTTGTTTGGGCACTTACCAAAGACTTTCTCCGGCCTTCCTCACAAGGTAGGAGTAAGGACTGCGTACACACTACCCTCCCCAGACCCTACAGTGTGGGATAATACTGGGTATGTTGTTGTACTCAACGATCAAAAGATATTACTTCTTTTAGAAGTTTAAAACCACCGATTCTTTCAGAGGTAATGGGTTCTGATTTAAATATCACATACCTCTGTTTGGCGGACTTGTCCAGAAATATAAATTTATCTATAATAAAAAAAAAAATCAATATCCCATCTGCCTTGATTTTCCTGGCGAACCTTGACTTTGTTGAAATTGGTCACTTTCCTTCTTCTCTGTCACATATGTTTCATATTTGCCGAAACTAGACTCATGCAATGACTCCCGCTCGGCTGGGAGTAGCTTGATGAATCTATTTCAACCTCAAACAGTTTCTGCGGTCTTCTTGGCCATGGATTCGAAACTTTCTTAACCCTTAGAACTTTTTCTAATGGGTTTAGATTGACTGCCCTTCTGTTTTCATATACAAATTTCACAGAAGAATTCAAAATGCAAGAAGAATAGATTGTCTCTTGCCTTAAAGAGTCTAGAGATGGATAATGTCTTCTCGGAACAGTTACTTTCCCTTGAATCCAGATAAAAACTTTTCGGAAGAGATAGCAATGAAAAGACACCAGTTTCCAATGAATGCAATTATTTTGGTTTTAAAATTTTGACACTACAACTTCCCTCCAATTCGATCCCTTAATGCATAATCTCTCTCGGCCAATTGATCTTCAAATTGCACAAAAAAACTTTCAACATCTCTTCTAGCAACATGATCGCGAATGAAATGATATCTGATCTCAATGTGCTTTATTCTTGCATGTTGAACATAATTTTAGCTAGACCGATAACACTAGTAAAAGATAAGGCGCAACGGAAAAAATAAGAGATGTATAGGCGATACCAATTAGTTTGGAATATGTGTTGGTCATCTTAGTACATCTACTTTAGATCTACGCTTTTTAGAGTCTTTTAACCCTATTAAAGATTTTGATGTCAGTAGAAAATATAGAGAACTTCTAGTACTTTTTTATTAATATTTTCATTTTGTATAATGTTGCCATGAGATGAATTTAAATGGAGAAACATGGTTAGTGAGGGTTTATAAAGCCGACCTCAACTTGTTTGACAATGAAGCGTAGTAGTTATTGTTTTCAGATATCCAACTGAAGCTTAGTAGTTAAGGTTAGTGATAACCGTTGTAGTTAATGTTGTAATAATACTAGTATTACTATAATAAACAAGTATATATCCATAGGAGTTGTGTACAACTACTTCACAATGCATATATATTATGCTTATACAGAGGAAAGTACAACTGATCCTTGCTTCTTGATAACTAGTGACTTCCCTAGGAACTAACATAGGCTACTTGTGCTTTTCCTGTCAACTTTATCACTTGCAAAGTTTGCAATTGAGTAACAAATTAGATCAAAATCAACTGTCTTTGGATACTACAGACCATATGTCTGGGTTCCAATCAAGTATAATGATTCTTTTAATTGTATTCATATGTGACTCTTCTGGATTCAGGCAGAATCTAGTGCACTTACATATATTAAACATGATATTTGGTCGACTGGAAGTCAAGTAGAGTAATGAGCCAATTATTCTCCTGTATTGCTTTTCATTCACACTCTTACCATTCTCATCTTTATCCAGATACGTAGATGTGCTCATGGGAGTTTCAGAAGACTTTGCCTTTTCCATTTCAAACTTTGAGATGAGTTCCTCAGATACTTGGAGTGACTTTAAAAAAAATCTCAGTTTGTTTTATTTGTAACCCAAGAAAGAAGGTGCATCCTCCCATCATATTCATTCCAAACTCACTTTTCATTAACCGGAGAGGGTAGTTCAAAGGTTTAACTAGAGGTATTCTGTTTAGTGTTATAGTTATTACTATCTAGTACAGAGAAGGTTTGTCAGTAATATATAATAGCCATAAACAGCCACCACCAAGAAGAAACGAAAGAGATTTCACTCTCAAATATTCAAGTTATATTTGACAGGAGCTATCATTGTGGCAGTATACCAAACATTCAGACTTGAGCATGAAAAATATACTTCACATTGAGTAATCATCATCTGCACAAGAATAATAAGCAAGCATGCTGATCATCTGGGTGACACTACTAGTACCGATTAGCAGGTGAGTAAAAAACTACTCCACCCGCCCTCCCCGGCCAAAATTTCTCAGGATATCTCGAAATGGAAGAATGAAAAGGCAGAGAATATGTCTATTAGCCTAGTGCCTACATCAGCCTTCAGTGCTAGAAGACTAAAACAACAAATGCTACTCAGCTCAAAAGGGATAAATACTTGCTCTGAACCTAAACTGAACTGGTGAACCCACACTATGGAATTTAATATTAACTGAGATCAGGTCATACAAGATATGTGGAACAGCTTCAACAAGACATGACGAAGAACCTAGGACCCAAAATGCAAGATGATGTCAAGGTTAATAGAAGCACTTCACCAAACAAATTTAGAAAGAGCAGGCAGAACAAAAATTATAACAAACAAAAAAAACAAAAAAACTAATGCAACTGATTTTCTAATTTTTAAATACATAAATAGACAAACCTCATTTGTCGAGTTCTGGATTAGAGGCTTACAGTGAAAGGTCCATTAATTGAAGAGTCCACCTCTACATAATTCAACCAACGCATCGAATCAAGGACCGAAGAACTCATTGGACCATTAGTAACGTACAGGAATAATATCAGCATTCAGCAGGTTGCAAAGTCAGAACTTGATTGTTCATATTCTGCTTTATCATCTTGGATCAGTTGGGTGGAGGAACCAAACGAAGCCATCTTTTCTGACAAAACCTTAAGAGCCTCTTGTTTATTAGCCAATTCCATAAGCACCTTGATCCTCCTAAAAGAAACATTACTTGGCTTTTGCCCTTTATCCACCATTTGCAAGAAACATCTTTCTGCCTCCACCAACTTCCCCAGATCACAAAGCAAATCAAACAAAACATCAGAGACCAAAATATACGAGCCGAATCCTCTCTCCATCATGTCATCCCACAACTCAAGTGCCATCTCCACCTTATCATGTCTCCTGATCAACCTGATCAAAAACATACATGACTGTGTACTCGGTAAGCACCAAGTCTCCTTCATCCTCTGGTACAAACTCCACGAACTTCTCAAATCATTTGCCCAAAAAAATGACCTTAAGAACACGTTATAAGTAGTAGCGTTGGGGCTCAAGCCATTCATTATCATCTCATCCATCAAACTGTATGCGTCCCCAATCCTCTTCGCAATGCAGAAGTTCCTAATTGCAGCATTATAAGCTGCCACATCCGGGTAACATCCATACTCCCTCATATCCTTCAAAACACCCCTCGCCTTATCGGGTTGTCCAACCAACCCCAACCCTCCAATTAAACTCGTATAAGTTATCACATCGGGAGTAATATCCTTCTCTCTCATCTCCTTCACCACCTTAAATGCCTTCTCCATCTCTCTCCCTTTGCAATACACATCCACCAAACAATTATATGAAACAACATCCGGATCAACACCCAAATCCCTCATCTCATCAAAAAATCCTTCTGCGTCCTCCGACGACTTCCAACCGGACAAAAGTATATTAAAAGTCTGCAAATTTGGCCTAAACTTACATTTCAAGCTATGGTACACATTCCTTGCATCACTCATGCTCTTCTCCTGACACAAAGCCCTCAACAATGCATTAAAACAATCAACACCAAACTCTTTCAACAGTTTTTTGAAGCCCCAAAAAGCCTCAACAGTTTGCCTAACTGAACAAACCTTAGCAACTCTACCCAAAACAACTTGAACTGTTCTGGGTGTTATTAAAGATTGATCTTTTCTCTTCATCTCAACTAAAACCTCCCAAATCTTGTCAAATTTACGACTCCTACCAAGTACATACAACATGGTGTCTAAAGAAAAACCAGTATGGTAAAACCCTTTACGCTTAGCTGCAAATTTAAAGAACTCATAAGCTTGTAATGGGTTTGAGTGAGAAAAGCGTACCCTTTTGAGAACTCTATCAATTAAGTCGTTTGATAAGCTGATTTGTGATGATTTGAGTGAATGTTTTAGTCCCTCTGGTGTTTGTGTTATTGTTATGATGCGGTAAAGTGTTTCAACTTCTTTGTCAGTGGAAAGGGGGGATTGAGAATGGAGGAGGTAGAGGGAAGAAGGAAGAAAATGGTTGTTCGTTTGAGGGGCAATAGAGAGATGCTTGTAGGAGAAAATTCGAGCCATTGCTGAAGTTGAGGAGTGTTTAAGTCTGCTGATTTTTGAGCTAATAGAGTTTGGAAAAACTGTGAGAATAAGGGAAACGAGCAGCAAAAATAATTGAGAGGGAAATAAAGAAAGACTGAATACCTAAATTCACTTGTACATGTATTAAAGCTGCTCCCCGAACTTTTTTATTTTTCGTTTTAGCACATTTATTTAACGGAATGACTGTTTGTGTCCATAATAAAGGCATTTAATGTCTTTGATTTCACACTGTTTACTATAGTTTCAGATTAGATACCGCTACTTTCTCTAGAACCATAATACTACTATTTGATTAGGCCATCAATTTTTTATTTCTCTTGAGATTTCTGTAATGTTCAGTTCTAACATATTTTTTCGAATGTACACATCCATTAGCATAGGAGTAAATTTATCTTAGGTCCATGTTAGTATGAATTAGTGAAATGAAGAACGATTAAGATTTAAGAAGTGGAATAAGCAAGCAAATAACCCAACCAAGCAAATCGAATCTCCTTGATCCTGACACAACAAGTAGTTTTCGTGACTGAAAAAAATATATTTGACCGTTGATTATGTTTAAGTGGCGGAAATAGAGTTGAGATGGCCAAAGTGCATGTCAATTATGTTCACTATTATATATTTTTTGGATGATATAATCTTTTATATTCAATAGTTAATGACGATAATATAAATTTAATATCTTAACTCGCAAAAGTCTTATATGGAAAAAACAGGGGAAAAAAAAGATTTTTAGTTAGGGAAGGAGGTCAATAGTTTTAAATAAGACCCATCATCTTTATAACATGCCGGCCAAATGAAAATTACTAGAGCAATTGATCAACAAGAACTCGATTGCGTTAAAAAAAAAATCAATGTAAAAGCGGAATTTCTCCTCTACTTTTTCTTAAATTGTACTTCCTTTTACCTCTGTCCCAGCTTATTTGAAACACTTTCTTTTTTAGTCAATCGCAAATAGAATGACACATTTTTTTATTTATTAATAATTAAATTTTAAATTTTCCCTTTTACCGTTAATTAGATGATTTCTAGTCACACAACTTTCTATGATTTGTTTTACACCACAAATGTTAAAAGTTTTCCTTTATTTCGTAAAATTCGTGTCTAGTCAAATACCTTCACATAAATTTGGACGGAGGGAGTAATATTTGTTAGTTACAAGTACGCACCTTGTTTGGGCCTACTAATGTAATGTGCTTTTAAGATCTTTATTGAGAATTTTTCATAAAGCACCATCTTTTAGGTCTAATTAGCCATTTATAGATACCATTTGTTATATTACGTGTTATAGATACCTTTTATGTTTTTATACAATGTATTTCATGTATTTAAGCTGTTGTACTCATTAATACAACAAAAAATAGGCGTAAAACCTGAAATTCCAGCTAAGTTTGACATGTATTTAGCTGTATTCAAGCGGCATTAACGTTAAATACAGTAACGTATCTGCGCAAAATCTGGAAGGTTAAACTGGTTAAAAACGGAAGGAAATCAAATCACATGATATTCTCCTAATTTAACTCAACGAACTAAAACGATCCCTCATTAATCTGTATTTGAAAGATACATATAATAAAGATTATAGCTGAATAAAGAGAAATACATATGAATAATACAGTTGAGTAGAACTGTATACAGTTGAATACAACAAAAATACGACTTAATTCATCTGAATAAAACACTTGAATACAACAAAATACAACTAAATACAGCTGAATAAAACTCTTGAATGCAACAAAATACAACTAACTTCTGCTGAATAAAATAGTTGAATATAACTAACTACAACTGAATACAGTTGTATAAAACACTTGAATACAACTAACTACTGCTGAATAAAATAGTTAAATACAACTGATTAAAACTGAATACAAGAGAATACGCATAACTTTTTAATACATCTAAAATATATAAATGAATGCTACTGAATACATGTGAATACAACTGAAATATACATTCGAATACAACTGAATACAAATAGGCGATTTGGGCGATCTAGAGAGAGAAACAGCCTTATGGCTTCGCCGGCCGATGGCCAGCCTTTAATTCCGGCTGGTCAGCCCCCTAACACATCTGCCCAACCTCCTACAACAACTACAAACAATCCCCAGCCCTCAAATCCCACAAACGAAGCCATGAATTATGCAAAAGCTGTGAACCCTACTTCGACGATCACTGCCAAGCAGAATCGAGCCGCTACAGTTGAACCAATTGCTCTTCGTCTATCAAAATCAACGAATTAAACTTACCCTAAGCGATTGTAATGGAGTGATAATGGAGGAGAACTAGAGAATTTGGGTGGGAGAAGAGGTATGAATCGTGGGTTGAGGGAAAAAGAGTAAAGTATATGCAAAAAGAGAGAGAACGTGATTAGTCAATTTTACTTTGATTATGTGAGAGAAAAGACTAAAAAGGAGAGAGAAAAATATTATTTAGCATATATGGTGCCTTAAATGTAAGATGTAACTATAATTAGATATTTGGCTATAAAGTATAAAAGGTATCTATAGGATGTAATATTTTAAAATGGTATTTATTTAAAATAAATAGGGTACTAAGGTTTTCTATAGGGTGTAAAAATTCCATCTTTATTTACGGAGATGCCTGCACCTTCCCCATGTCTAATTACTATATAGAGGACCAACAAGGGTTGTGGTGGAGTGGTAAGTACTCATTCGTCCTTAACCAGAGGTCTTGGGTTCGAGCACCTGGATATGGAGTCGTCTTTGTTAGGGAGGGCTTTACCCCCAATGTAGGACTTTCCGGCGCGAATCCGGATTTAGTCGAGCCCTAATGTGGGTACCAGAAACCGGGGAAACAAAAAAAATTACTATATAGATGCAAGTTAAATGGACTACCACTCCAACTCTCCAAGGTCAATTCTGCCAAACTAAATGTTGAAACAGAGTAGTTTTTAACATAATAAAGGAAGTTAGAGCCTTTATATGCCATCTCTAGGGAGTTAAGTACTTGAAAAGACTCGAATTATTGGTGAAGGCGCATTTAATGCCTTGATATTTGAGAAAAGTCGTCTTTATAGTTCTCATAATCTACTAAAATATACCTAGTTGGTTGCATCAATAACATCAATACCTTGTTTATTCTAGATCATCCTATAATTCTAGATCATCCTATAATTGAATCCATGGGGTTAAGCATAAACCAATACACAAAAATAAAATAAAAAAGTTGTCTTTAACAGAAAAAATGTTCAAGATAGTCAACCAATATGGCTGAGAATTTACAACTCAAATGTAAATGCTTGCATGAGAACAGCATACAACTGTAAGAAGCTATTGAATTCTGTATGATCTTAGAAATGTGAATGAGTCATCAACTCCTATTAACAGTATATAAATAACAGAATAAGTACTTCTTTGAGCAACCTTCAACAATCTGTGCAAGTGAAATCGTGTGGTGCTTCTATCACTCGTGCAGGGCAGAGTTGCTCAAAGAGTACTTTGACAAAGTGAGTAAACTCCATAACTCCTTATATGGCCTTAAGCATTGAGTTTGGCTTTAGGTCAGTTGCTCTTAATTTTGGTTGAACAAACATTGCTATGAAAAATGTATCCTCTTAATGTATATGTGGATGATATTATCTTACTAGAGATGGTGTCCTGAATCTTAGCAAATTGAAGGCTTACTTGCGCTGATGGTTTCAGACCACTGAGGGTTGTTGTATAATGTTTTCTAGGAATCCAGGTTGGCGCTGTTTGAACAAGATTTTACATATCACAAAGAGAGTGCGCTACAGACTAGAAATCAATTACTCAGTCTAAATGAGTTGACACAATAAAAAGTACATTTGACAACAAAAAAGAACAATGAACAAAATAACTAGAGTTGGTATCCCCAACTGACCCTGAACCTTATACATTTGACCAACCTTGAGCCCTATCACACATAGAGAGGCTGAATAAGACCTCACTCCGCAAAAGAATGATATTTGTGAGAGAAAATTGAGCATCAAAATGTTTTTTATTCCCACAAGTTCACAAGACTAGTAGGTTCATTGCATTAGTTACAAGTTAACATCTTCCTCAGGTAACAAAAAGGATTCAAATTCCATCTCATGTTGAGGCAATAGCAATGACCATGCCGATGCCCAGGTGGCTAGTGGAAGTGTTTTCTAATAATGCCTCAAAAGATTAATCATGCATTTTGTTGTTTCTTCTGTAGCAAGATCCTCTCCGGCACATATAATCTACAAAATAACCAATTTTCAATTACTTAATGGCAACATTAGCCCAATGCATGCACAAGCATTCCGCATTCACGCAGGTTGGGGGGCAAGGGACGCACTCCAAGGGATGTGATATAGATAGTCTATGCTAACGCAAGAATTAATGGATGTTTCCACGGCTCGAACCTGTGACCTATAGGTCACACGGAGACAACTTAACCGTTGCACCAAAGATCCCTTCATAATGACTACATCAGCATGAACTTCATAATGATGTAAATGTCACACTACACTAAGACGGTCATATCAATAGATTATAATCAACTAATGTAAATGAGCCCTCCAAATAAACAGATGGGAGCTAATTGTCAACTGCCTACCATATAATGCAATTAAGAAATAAAAAGGCACGTCTTTTCTTTAGATACATAAAATTTCTATTGCCTTTCTTTCCTCAATTTTTCCCAATTACACGAGGGGTCAGGGAAATGGTAAGGGAGAGGGGGACAGTGAGAATCAAACCACACCTATTGTCCGAGACTCCCATGGATACCCACTACATTATGGTTTTCTATTGCCTTTCATACAAAAGTAAATCTTAAAATCACGGTTGAGAAATTATTTATATCAAAGACAAATGAACAACTCATTCTAACACCTGCTAGCTGCGATTTTGAACTAACCTCTGCAAAAACTGAAATAACTTTTGGAAGGTGTAAATAGTTGTGACCCAAAAGTTCTTCGTCTGATCTATAAGTCAGAAGCTTTGGTAAAACAGTGAAGACTAAAAACACATAAATTCGTCAGATTGCATTTAAGAGTCTGCAAACTTAAGTTAAAATAAATTGGCACTGTCACGAAGAGATTGGCACTAAATAAATGTAGTTTATA